CATTTAGAAATGCTCAGCCTAGGAACGGGCAGACAGCTCAGTGGAATAAGCACTTGCCTGGCAAGCACAAGGTCCTGAGTTCAATCTCCTGTACCACACACACACACACACACATACACACACACACAAAACCCTCAACCTAAAGGAAACAAAGAGAGGCAAGAAATAAGCCAAATATTACAAAGCCTTGATTTCCAGAAATATGCTTGAATTTTATCCTGTTTGCAAAGTGAAGATGATCAGAGATGATCTTTAAGTAGGAGAAAGTAATAGTCATATTTGTTATTTTAGAAAGGTTGTACTGGGTGGGTCATTGTAGATATAAAGATAACAAAAATAATCAGTCTTTTGTAGAAATTACACCCTACTAGAAAAGACAGTAGCATAATAAGAAATATAAGTAAATTAAAGGAAGTGATGGAACAGAAGCATAGAGTGCTTCTTGACGACAGTCAAAAATACCAGCTTAATATGCTTATAAACTGACTCTACATCTTATAGCAAGCCTGTCTTATTTATTCTTTTACTTATTTCTGTGACCAAGAAGACTGGGCTTTAGGCTGGTGAGATAGCTCGGCTGTCTAAGCACCTGCCTGGCAAGCTCAAGGACCTGGGGTTAATTCCTGGTACCACATACCATGCCAGCCACTGAAACCTGGCATGGTGGCGCAGGTCTATAATTCCAATACTAGGAAGGCTGAGATAGGAGAATCACTATGAGTCTGAGCTGCATAGCAAGACATTGTACCAAATAAGAAAATAAGAATGTAAATAAATAATAAATAATTTTTTAAATATAAAAAAGATTGGGTTTTGATGATACCTCAGATCAAAAGAAGCAATCTCAAGGCATCAAAAACTAAAGTCGGAACAGAAGGTAAAATCTGAAACCCCCACTGAGCAACTGCTCTGCTCCTTGCTGATCTTCAAGCATCTCAGTACTTTAACATTCCCTCCCAGTACCCACTCTCAAACTCTTTGGTCTCAGAGCTCCTTAACACTTGTCAAAATTACCAAAGTCCTCAAACAGTATTTGTTCACGTGAAAATACCTTTTTAAAAAAATATATTAGGGGCTAGGGAGATAGCTCAGTGTTCTAAGGACCTGCCTGGCAAGCACAAGGGCCCAGGTTCAATCTGTGGTACTGCATGCTGTACCAGTCACTGAGACCAGGCATGGTGGTGCACACCTGTAATACCAGCATTAGGGAAGCTGAGACAGGAGGATCACTACAAGTCCAAGTTGAGTAGCAAGACCCTGTACCAAACAAATAAATAAAAGATTTTTTAAAAGTTTTCAAATTGCTATATTTAAAATTAGAATTAGTTTCTTAAATAGTTATTAATTTAAAATATGTAAGTCCAGAGCTGGGCATGTGGATGGCACACCATGTAATCCCAGCACTTGGAAGGCTGAGGAAGGAAGATTACTGTGAGTTTAGGCCAGCCTGGGCTATATAGTGATTTCAAAGGCAGCCTGAGTTAAACAGTAGTACCCTATCTCAAAAAGCAAACGATCAACAACAACTAAAAAGTCTATCATATAAGTATAAATACTGTTTTAGGTGAAAAATTATAATTTCCCCAAAATACAGGAAAAAGAACATACCTACTTTAAATTTCTAAAAATAAATAAAATTTCTGAAAATCTGTGTGCTTAAAAATACGTATGTTTAGGGGTAGAGAAACAACGATTACAAAGAAGTATAAGAAAGTAACAAATGTCTACCACCTTGACTATGGTGTTAGTTTCATAGTACAAACACCAAATTTATGAAACTGTCCACTTTAAATGTGCAATTTACTTTATATCAATAAAATTTGAACTG